CAGTCATCATCAGTGCTTTCTACTGTGAGCGATCATCTTCTAGTTTTCTGAAAAGAGAGAAAATCTAGACATTCTGACATTCTCAGGTGTTTTCATTCTCGAATGTATCAGGTGGTTAAAAAAAACAAAATCTACATGACACCAGGATAATCATGATCATGATACAAGAAACGTGTCAAGATGATCCTAGGTGCCTTGCTGTATATATGCTTTCCCAATGTGTCACTGGATTGATTGATCGATTGATTGAACTTTCCCTTGAGTTTGATAGTGACAAGTGAGTGGATGATTCCAGATTGGACATAAATAACATAGAATAAGTCTTGAATTAGATCTAATCTGTGAAGGAGAGATAGGTTCTTTCAGACTTTAAATACCTATTGATTACTTTTGTACCGTATAGAACAGCAATATTGCCTTATGCACCTACATTATCCATCATGATCCCCAACCAGCACGAATACGCCTTATGGACGTTTTGAAAACGTTCACTCTGAACGTTTTGAGAACGTCCTTTTCCCAACGACGAACGTCTTGTGAACGTTTTGGAAATGTCCATTGTTGATCATCAGGAAATTTCGGGGACGTTCATTGTAAGTCCAGATGAGGACCTTTTTGGAACCAAAATGGACGTATTGAAGGCATTCAGATTATATTCATAGTTTATTTCCTGACTTATCCCAAGAGTGGAATACTTGAATGTTAGTATACATCAATCACATATGATTATATAAACAGAGAATCAGATCGTTGTTTCACTTTCACTTCTTTATATCGCATATCAGCCAGCTACTACACCACTAAAAACGTCGCGTGGTTCATCCAGTGACGCAGGCGCGATAATGTCGTCTCTTTCTGATTGGTATCCTTCTGTTGTCTTCTTCACTGCATCTGTGAATAATAATATTCAATAACATCTGTGAATATCATAGAGACACACCCACTTTTAAGGTGTATTAGTCAGTATAGGTAGATAGCTACGTTATTATTCTTACTTTTATGAAAACTCATTTCAAACATGAACTGATTCTGAGGTAGGTACCTATAACCTCAATGAATCTTGCACGAAATATTATATTTCAACTATACACAAAAATATGAACTCTTGTAGATGGTGGAAATAGAATAAGGTTGAGCTTTGCATGAGATCAAATCATATAAAAGGGTATCTAATGTTTTCAATTCAGATTTGGTGTTGATACTCAAGCACCTTCAAGCAAATGGAAATAAAACGATAACCATACTTGCCTTCATGCAGCTGTCAACACAGAACATCTCGATAGGAGTCCAGATGGAAGTTTAGCAGCTGATAGATGATATCCGCAATGGTTCCACTTCACTTATTTCACAGTCAACGAACTAAAAAAGTCAACTGACGCCATCCTTCCATTTCCCATTCGTTTCACGTAACATGCATGCGTTCTACGGTTGCTTTACATATGATTCGGCGAACCAATCAAATATCATTATGAAAGCGCGGCTTGTATGAATACTTCAGGGTGGGTTTGAGAATGGTCAAAGTGTATAGGTATTATATGATTAAAGTAATATAATTCAACATTATCATATGAGTAGGAACAAATCAGTTAAAATCATCAATATTTCGAATTCATAATATCAACAATTATATTAAATTCAATATATTGATATAGCTGACATACGATTTGATTTAGAGACATCATTTATATCCATAATCAATTCAATAATAATTCTGATTTCCGAATACCTTCCTACTTATATTTATTAAAACTGATATACCGTTATAGAGTCTGTAATTTGAACGTTTTGAAGACCTCTTGTTCTGGACGTTCCAAGTATGTCCAATAATTCACTACCTAAACATGTCCATACAAGATCCTGTATGTTCAGACCAAAAATGGACATAGAATGGACGTCCTTGGGACGTCCCGTGACATCTCAGTCAGGAGGACCCATTTTCAATGCACATACATAAATACATAATTTCCCTCCGTGTAATTTTGAGATTAGAAAACCCTATTTGTGTCAACTCAGTTATCACAGTTTTCTAGGTATACGGGTGGCCCACTTATGCTCGGTCAGACCATAGCTGCTAGGCTGATAGAGATAGAAGAAAAAATTCATCGGAAGTTATTGGAGACTTCATGAGCTACTCTTCAAAATTATTTTCTAGTATACAGGGTGCACCATGAATCCAGGGTGACAGAATCGATCGTTTTTTTAAATGGCACACCCTGTATATTATTTCATTTTCGGAATCTCTCTCATGTGGGCTTTACGAACCTATTTTGTTTTCAAAGATCAGATGCGACGTTGTCATGTTATTTACATTTTAATCAAATTTGACGAGAAAACATGGATGTTGAGACATATTCAGGGAAACTATATTTTCGAAGATTTATGAACGAAACTGGGTATAGAGATACTAAAACTATGTGTAAAAACTCAGACGTTATTTTGGGTTCACTCAAAATATACAGGGTTTTTCAAAATAAGGACCAAATTTCGCTATTTCCAAATCGCCGAAACTTATTTTTTTCAAATGGATCACCCTGTATACTATTTCATAATCTGAAAGCTCATCCAATGGGCTTTTCGATGATACCATATAGACCGTATCCAACGTTACTCTGCGATAGGCGAATAACGACTAAATCATACTTTTTTCAATCAAAAACATTTACGATCGTATATCGAAAATATTTATGATTCGAAGTATTTAAATGAATTGAATTTGTAAGAAATCCTGTTTGATAAGGTGTTCGAAGTGTCTTTTTTCATTGAATTTTTTTTTTGACGTCAATCTTTGATTGTTTCATTTAGATAGCTCAATTCACGTGGATAATAATTATTGTTTATCACTCTTTCGAGATGAATGAAAAGCAATCACTGAAAACAGATGAACATCTTGACAGTTTTTACAATAAGATTCATCAATTACATTTCAACCGAAATTATAGTGACATATACAGTTGTCAGTTACTCTTTCTTGTGATGAATTATTCAGAGGACGAATTTATTGAAATGATATTCATCTTGGGTGAGTGTCAAAAGAACTCTTTTGGCAAGTAGAGTATATGCCATATCCTGACAGAAGACGCCCAAAAGTTGACTGCTTTTCAAATCTAGCTGATAGATTCAATAGTAGTGGTTCGGAGGATTATTTGAAACATAAAAATCGAGCTACTGTTTCAACTGAAGAGAACGAGATGATGGTAATGACGACTGTGGTTGAAAACCCGAATATAAGTAGCAGATAATTGAGCTAATATGTAGAAATTTCAAGAACTTCAGTACAAAGCATGATAATAAAAAATAAATTTCATCCATTCCATATCCAATTACACCAGAAACTTCTACCACAGGATTTCAATCGAAGAATAGAACATTGAAGGTGGTTAATTGAGAAGATCAACAATGACAGAAATATTTCGAGAAAGGTTCGATCTCTACACTGATCAGCCTACATTTCACAAGAATGGGGTGGTGAATCCTCATAACTATCATCATCATTCGGATCAAAATCCTTATTTATTCAGAACCAAGAAAGATGGTATTTGAATGTTTGGGGAGGTATTATTGATAATTACGTCATCAGCCTCTACTTTTTTGATGGTGTGGTAAAAGTAGTAGTAGTTTTAGATTTTCTACAAAATCATTTGGGATCGATGCTTCAACGTGTACCACAAAATGTGTTGAATAATATGTGGTTTCAACAAGACGGTCCATCAGTACATTTTGTAGCACCAGTTCGCCAGTGGTTGAATAAGCGTTTTCAAGATAGGTGGATTGGTAGAGGAGGTCCAATACACTGGTCTGCAAGGTCGCCAGACTTGACCCCTTGCGATTTTTTCTTATGGGGCTATGTTAAGGACAAAGTGTATTAGGAACCAGTAACAACGAAAGAAAACATGAAGATGAGGATAAGGAAAACTTTTGGAAATATAACCCCAGACATGTTGTCAAAAATAAGGAATTCGATTAAACATCGAGCTCAAAAATGTATCCAGCAGAATGGAAGACATTTTGAACATCTCATAAACTGATATGTTCCATGAGTTTGAATATTTCTCATTGTCAGTTGAATTTTCTCTGTTTGTTATTGTTTTTGAATAAAAATGTACAGTTGAATTGATTTATCGTTATTTACCTTTCGAAGAGTATCGTTGGATACGGTCTATATGGTATCATCGAAAAGCCCATTGGATGAGCTTTCAGATTATGAAATAATATACAGGGTGATCCGTTTGAAAAAAATTAGTTTCGGCGATTTGGAAATTGCGAAATACGGTCCTTATTTTAAAACACCCTGTATATTTTGAGTGAACCCAAATAATGTATGAGTTTCTACACATACATTTGTATCTGTATATCCAGTTTTGTTCATAAATCTTCGAAAATATAGTTGCCCTGAATATTTTTCAACATCCATGTTTTCCCGTCAAATTTGATTAAAATGTTAATAACTTGACAACGTCGCATCTGATCTTTAAAAACAAAATAGGTTTGTGAAGCCCACATGAGAGAGATTCCGAAAATGGAATAATATACAGGGTGTGCCATTTAAAAAATCGATCGATTCTTTCACCTCGGATTCATGGTGCACCCTGTATACTAGAAAATGATTTTGAAGAGTAGCTCATGAAGTCTCCAATAACTTCCGATGAAATTTTCATTTCTATCTCTATCAGCCAAGCAGCTATGGTCCGAGCGAGCATAAGTGGGCCACCCTGTATATATGTGTATTCTATGAGAAATAATCAAAGCTGTGGTAGTTTACGGAAACATTTGTATCTAGCAAGCCGTTCAAAACTCTCGTCAAAACTAAGGCATTTCATCAGGGAAACAGTTAGATAGGAGTCTAGACGAACTCCTGATGTTTCATTGATATGCCCAATTTGTACCAAATGAGCTCGAGCGATTGTCAAATGTTTCAATTTTATTTGACACTGTATAAAAGAAAATTGAATTCAAGAGCAATTATGATTTAGAACCACCTTGCATATTATTTTTTGTTTCAGGGATGGTGATTGGCTCATATTTCTGGGGATGCCTGGCTGATACCAAAGGAAGAAAAGTTGTTTTGATTGGTGCTCTACTCATGGATGGGATTTGCGGATTGTTATCCAGCATTTCACAAGTGTATTGGTTGTTTATGATAATGCGATTCTTGAATGGATTCGCGTAAGTACCATATCACTGATATTGATGCAATAAACCTCTGGTGCTCTCACTCTCCATTTGTTTCGTCAGACTGGTTCTTGATATAAACAATTGAATTTCAGACGATGACGTGGGGTTCAAATATTGAACGTTAGATGGCGTGATTTCTAGAACTTCAGTTCTACCAACCTTGATGCGGCTAAATAGCAAAATGTATTCCCTATCATCATTGGCCACAATTCTGTCACAATTGTCACACTCATGCCTGCAATTTAGGTACGGCACCATCAGACTAATAAACTTAGCAAGATTCACCCACGCCATGTTATGTTTATCGAAGTAGGCGCAAATCAAGGAATTGTAAAACAGAAAAGGATTGAAGTGCGTACACCAGAAGTTTGTTTCATCAATTCACTGATACCAGTCCTTTTTACAATGAACTCCTCCGTTACTCGATGGAGATCCTAAGTGAATGTTAAAAAAATCACAAACGATAAGATTTTCACAAAACATTGTCAATAACACGACATGTTTTGCTTACACAAAAGCTTCTGCACTGTATCGTACGAGCATATGACATTTACTATGACAGCTCTGTATAATTAATATTGTAGTAACACATGTCAAATAGTCATATATCACGAAAAGAGTGATAATATCATCAATTAGTTTTTAAATATGTGATTGATATTCAAATTTTTCGTGAATAAAGATTTTGAAATACATTCAATTTGAATTGCATGATATTTCCATTGTTGAGTCATTTCGCAATATCTTGAAGGAGTAGTAAAAGTATAGTTTATAATTCACATGGAATGCTGATTTCTCATGACTCTTAGGAAATAACTATCCCTCGTGCTCTTTGAACAGTATACTGTACTGTTCGATTTGTCTTAGCAAACAATCTAAAAAATCAGAGAATGCAAAAATATGTATTTTTCGAATGAATTTCAGAATAACAGGCGCTATGGGAATATGTTTTCCTTACTTGGGAGAATTCCAGCCAAACAAATATAGAGAGACAATTTTATGTTGGATGGAACTGTTTTGGACATTTGGAGTCATAGTTTTACCAGGTGAGTTGATATAAGGCAATATGCGAGTAGATAATAATACTTCTCCATATTTTGCCCGTGAAGACCACGTTGAATTGAAGGGAATGTAGCTTCGAAATTGTTTTCCCGTTTTTTTTTTAAGCCAGAGTCAATTCTATGAAAAGTAAGTGTCTATAGATAAATGTAGATTTTATATGATGTAGAATTTGAAGAAAATCACCAAATATTTCCACCTCCTATAATCTGTGATGATATATTTACAATTGTTATTATCTGACAGCAGATGTTTTTTCTTTCAATTTTGTGAATACGAAAATTCGAAAAATCTGTTCTATGACACTACTTGACAGCATTTAGTTCGGACACAGCTGAATTTTTTTCCTTTTCTATTTTCTATATTCGCGATATAAAATAGGCGTGCGCCACCTATCGGAGTTTTTGAAAGTTGTCAGAGCGGTGTGTTTACTGTGATTTCATTAGTTCACATTTGTTTTTTCTTTGAGCTTTTTTGTCACTTCATCAAAACAAACCGCTCAGAAGGGTTCGAGTTGTTACCGTCAGCAACTATCGCGATTTATAATGGTTTGAGTGAATGAAAGAATTATACATAATATATTCTGCTATATCGAAGACTGGAACCTTTGGCACGATAATACACTACACTGTTTTACCACTAACCAAATTGATTTTTTAACGCCTCGACACGTGTTTGCTATGCTATGCTATGTTAGCATCTTCAGGAGAAGATTAGAACTATTTTAATCTTCTCCTGAAGATGCTAACATAGTTAGCGAAACACGTGTCGAGGCGTTAAAAAATCGGTTTGGTTAGTGGTAAAACAGTGTAGTGTATATTATATTCTGCTCTTTGTCTTTTCAATTTCCCTAGTAGCGCCTAAATGTCTAATACGAATTTAGAGGTTAGATTTTCTGTCAAATCATTTATTGTCGCAGATAACTCCAACTTATAAAGTGATACACTTCCCGCAGAACATCAATAGTTATTAAAATGAAAAAAAAATCATGTAAAATAATTTAATATGACGAAATAGACACATATTGATATACTCATAGCTAGTTCCTTATTGGATGTTAAACTGTACCCGAGTGGATGAAGTTCAAAACCTTCTGCTGCATTCACTTTCTACTCATTTTCGGATTTGGTCGGTATTGAAAACGCCATTCAATGATCATGTTGCAATTTACTTGATTTCCTCAGTTTCGTTCTCAATTTTTCAATTATGTTACGTAGTTTTGCAGTCAATTCTTCTTTCTCTATGATTATTTTGTTTTGCATTTCGTGTGATGATAATATTGGCATTTTTTTTATAGTCTATTTTGTAAATCAATGGAACAGCAGATTCTCTCCAACGGATCTTATGAATCTTCTGTTTGAAACTTGGCCTAAAATATTGTGTTAGTCTAATCTGCTGTTATAAGAAGTGAATTTGAATGTATATGTACTCACCCTACAAATTTTAATTGTGCTCGTGTTCAAATTGATTTTTTATACAGGCCGATTTATACATTCCTTCCATCATGGGAATGTTTGATTTTTCCTATGGAAAATTGGAGAAATGAATTCGCAATTTCCTTCAGAATTCCCGCAATTTATTCCACAGCAGAACATCAATTTTATTCATCCTTTTTTTTCAGTAGTCTATGGAATTATATTTCAATTAAAACTTTCATAAATTGAATGTCAAATTAAAACAATTATGAAAAAAAAAAGCGCGGAACAACAGTTGTCGTTTCTGTGTTATTCATCAGGTTCCAGTATGTAGTTCCAATCATCCTTCTCTTCTGGCATATTTTTTTTTTCGAATATTACATTCATATAATACACATAATCCTCATTATGAGCCTTCCACTGGATCTCTTATGTGTGAAACATTGGTTTGTTCCTACTCATCACTCACAATGTTTCGTTCCTCATTCTCAGTTTATTTTATTACCAGCTTTTATTACCAGCTTGATGTCCGATCACCTGTGATTATCAAGTCGACTTTGCTGATTATAACCCACCTGCGGTTATGAGATATAGAACCTTGCTGCCACTATATAGCGATTGCATCTGAATTTTTGCTATTAGACTATGTTTCTGTAGTAGGTATCTGACTCTGCTACCGTTAGTAAGTGCATCTAATAATGGAAGCAGAGCAATGTCATAATCATAGGTAGGGAACTTTTTTACTCTCATCATATAGATAGTTGCATGACCTACTTACTGTAGTTATTCAGTTATTTTCCACAGGATTGTTGTCATGAAATGTGAAATTTTGACTGATATCCAATTTCAGTTCCTAATTTCCACCCTGACATTTGGTATGAATAGCAGTTTGTTGATTCCTAAACAACATTTTGAATCAATGATCTTTGAAATTTAATAGATCAATTGATTCATGCACCCTCAGGAAAAAAAGGTTTTTGAGTGATTGATGAATAAAATTATTTTTCCGATTTTTTCTGGAACCATTGTATCTCAAATACTAGGCAAGTTGAAACAGATGCGTACAGGAAAACGAAATGTTACCAGTAAAATCATGCATTCAAATATTTTCATAACCTGAACATTTTTGCTCACAATGAGATTTTAGACCACATTCTATAGAGAAGCTCTGGAACATATTTGACAATTCTAAAGTTTCATGGTACCAAAAAAAAGGAAATGTTGAATGTAAAATATTTGAACTCCAGTCGAAATACCTCGAGAAAACTCACCTTTATCATTCCTGGTAATAACTGAAGCACTCAGATTAACGAAAGTACTGAAAGGTACACGATAGATTTTTTTTTGTTCAGAAATGTTTCCATTCTATATTTGAATTCAGATTCAGATTCTGAATAATGAATTGGGGGACAAATCAGCAAAATATCGAATAACGATAAATAGGCGCTAAATAACCCCAAGTAGGTTCGTCAAATATTATTTTCGTGATAGACTGACTGAGATTGATAGTGAGTGCAGTTCTATGCCATGAACCTCGCAGTCAAAAAAAAATCATGCTGTCCCAGAGCTGCTGTCTGATTGCGACAGCAGCATACCTTCCTGTGGCAGGAGATTAACGTTCAGCAAAGTCGTTATTGCTATCATAGAAAGGTGCTGCTTCTGTTCAAAAATGTATAACGGTTATATGATTTCTTGTAATGGTGACAAGCAATATCTCAGCAAAAACTCTTATTGCACAATTTTCCTCATCAGGGCACCTTCAGTTTCATCAGGAAATTAAATATTCGAAAGATTTCATGCATTTTCAATTGAATTATCTGCATCGGAAAGTCGTTGTAAAGTCTTGAGATATTACTTTATCAATTACGTTTCAGGTATCGCTTGGATTATTATCCCGATGGAATTCGAGTACCTGACCGACAGTTTCAAATTCGCCAGCTGGAACCTGTTCGTTGCAGCGTGCGCAGTACCCAGCATCCTCATAGGGCTCTGGTTGTTCTTCTTTCCAGAGAGCCCCAAGTTCCTGCTGGAATGCGGAGAAGCAGACGCGGCTCTGGAAGTGCTCAGGGATATGTATGCCAGCAACACGGGAGATGATGGAGGCAACTTTCCAGTAAGTGGTTTGATACTTCAGCGGCATATTGTGGGCAACTGCTGACAAATACCAAGAAAATGCGCTGCAGATATTTCTTGATCAAGTTGCTTATTTTAATAAACTTCAGCACTTTCTGGTGTGTTGATCCATCCCTATACACGGTTATTAATCGAAAATGCCTACCCCTATATTCACCTCATTTTTAATCGAGAAAGAAAAATGATATGCGGGAGTTTAATGCCACAATGGGGCCTTTCCACAGCCATTATCAGAAGTTGAAAGCGTCGTGACAAACAACAAATTCTTTTTTTCGAATGGAACACCTTTTTTTCCTACGGAATATGTTGTTTTTGTGATCACACAAATATAAATATCACCATTATTTCAACTACAATATCACCACTCTTTTGAGACTGGAAAAACAATTTTTGTATGATTAATTGCTGATGATCACTTCATTAGTTTGGAAATGTATCCGATATTGATGGAATATACACCTGTCAAATATATCCTCATTCATAGCTCACACGATATCTGTAGATGCCAATACACAAACATTGTTTTTTGAGGTCGAAAAAGTGGTGAAATAGTAAAAATGAAAGATTTTATATTGTATACAGGGTGTTTCACAGGTAAAGGGAAATATTTCAGTGGTACATAGGGGTTACCAAGGTGATTCTGAAAATACCATATTTGATAGGTCTTTAAGTCTTCATAACGGAGATACGGGGCGATTTATCTATTTCGAATAATTATTCATTCGTCTTTAAGTATTGAACTACCTGGTATATTTTCCTCAAGTTTGGTATGGAGCTCAAACTTGGGACGTTGATTCCATTCACCTATCGGACGGAGCGAAAATCCAGGTTCGGCTTCAGGAGAAATTTACATTTATTCGAAATATTGAAATAACACACTGTATGTAATAACCAACAGAGTTCATCGAAGGAATCGTGAAAAGGAGGAAAAACTGAATTGGATTTGATGCTTTTTGATTTCCCGTCACCAATTCGCATCGTAACAATCATAAACAGAAAGTTAAAAGTAGGTACGTCAATTTGAAGAGTAGGTATTGAAAATATGAAACAAGTTTTAATTATGAATATTTGATTCTTATATTTTAGTTGAATGATCGTTCGAGAGAACTCACTAAGTCCCACTGTCTTTATAACAGGGATACAGGGTGAATTATCGGTTTCGAATAATTATTTACTCGTCCATAAGTAATAAACTACCCAGTAATATTTCCTCAAATTTGGTATGGAGCTTACTTAGGACGTTAGATTCATCGACCTATCAGGCGGAACAGAAATACAGGTTCAGCTTCAGAAAAAGTCTCACAGTCTTTATAACAGAAACACAGGGTGAATTATCGGTTTCGAATAATTATTTACTCGTCCATAAGTATTGAACTACGCAGTAATATTTTTTCAAATTTGGTACGGAGCTTACTTGGGACGTTGGATTCATTGACCTATCGGGCGGAATGGAAATACTTATACTTATGGACGTGTGAATAATTATTCGAAACTGATAATTCACCCTGATCCGTTATAAAGACTGTAATACTTAGTAGTAAGTTATTTCGAGCGATCATTCAACCAAAAAATATCAAATAATCATAATCGAAACTGGTTTTATAATTGCAATACTCTTCAAATTGACATACTTTCAACTTTCTGTTTATGATTGTTACGATGAGAATCGGTGGCAGGAAAATAAAAAGCATCAAATCCAATTCAGTTTTTCCTCCTCTTCACGATTCCTTTGATGAATTCTGTTAATTATTACATACAGTGTGTTATTTCAATATTTCGAATAAATGTAAATTTTTCCTGAAGCCGAACCTGGACCTTCACTCTGCCCGATAGATGAATGAATTCAACGTCCCAAGTATAAGCTCCATACCAAATTGGAGGAGAATATACTGGGTGATTCGATACTTATAAACGAATGAATAATCATTTGAAATCGATAAATCGCCCTGTATCTCCGTTATGAAGATTCTATAAGACCTATCTAATATTCTATTTACAGATCCACCTTGGTGACCCTTATATGTACCATTGAGACATTTCCCTTTACTTGTGAAACACCCTGTATATATATAGATATGTAGATGTGTGCTCGGATAGGTTTCCGTGTTCAGAAATTTGAAAACTAGGAGTTCGGGTTGAGCCGCGTCTAGAATCTATAATAGATGTTCAACGTTTCGGCACCGATTATGGAGCCATTTTCAAACTTCTGTATAGTATACAGGGTGTAAATTTGAAAACTTCCAATGCGACTATTTTGAGAAAGAAAAAAGTTAGAAAAACGCCGTTTGGCAAAAATGCTAAAGAGTTAAGGGGAACTAGAACCACCATATTTCGGTCAAGGAATGAGTCACCCCGTCGGCGCGACACACCCCAACTTTGAAATGTCAAATGGCACTACCTTTTTTGTGATGCCTCAAATGAACAGTCTCAGTCAGTAGTATTCACCTGTACAAGACTTTTTTTCCACCCACTACAGGGTGTACGAAAAATATAAAGTCGAATAAAATAAAATGAATTGTGTTAAATGGATATTTTATTTGACCAGATGTTCAAAATGCATCCCATTCTGTTGTTAGCAATAGTATAATCGATGTTCAAATGCCATTCTAACATTTTGGAACACATCTCTTGGAATATATCGGCATTCTGCATTTTATTTTATTAGACTTTATGTTTTCCGTTCACCCTGTAGTGGGTGGAAAATAAGTCTTGTACAGGTGAATACTACTGACTGAGACCGTTCATTTGAGGTATCACAAAAGAGGTAGTGCCATTTGACATATCAAAAATGGAGTGTGTCGCGCCGACGGGGTGACTCATCCCTTTACTGAAGTATGGTGGTTCTAGTTCCCCTTAACACTGTAGCATTTGTGCCAAACGACGTTTTCCTAACTGTTTTATTTAGCGAGATATTCGCATTGAGAGTTTTCAAATTTAGACCCTCGAATTAATGTTTTTCGTACACCCTGTAGTGGGTGGAAAAAAAGTCTTGTACAGGTGATTACTACTGACTGAGACCGTTCATTTGAGGTATCACAAAAGAGGTAGTGCCATTTGACATTTCAAAGTTGGAGTGTGTTGCGCTGACAAGGTGACTCATCCCTTCACTGAAATATGGTGGTTCTAGTTCCCCTTAACTCTTTAGCATTTTTGCCAAGCGGTGTTTGTCAAACTTTTTTATTTCGCGAGATATTCGCATTGAAAGTTTTCAAATTTACACCCTGTATGGTATGCTACGACGCATCTTCGTATACGTCACTGCGAGTAAAACAATTGCTCACAGTCTGAGCTCAAAGTCATCAGTTCTCCCGAGTTGCCGTGATCATTTTGGTGCGAGTATAGACTCGCAATAACGTTATGCGCAGAAAAGACGAATTGAAGATACCTGCGCAGCACACATATTATATTTTCATCATGATTACCACACTAGAAAATGGTAGGTTTAACGATAAAAGAAGAACTGATTTCCTGGTTATATGCCACGCAGAACATCCTACCAAAATCTATGCGATAATTCGTACCTATAGACGAATAAAATCGCAAGTGTTGCCTTCCTAAACGCCGAGCTGCGCTTATGTGGTTCAGGCACGCTTGACTACCTGCAGACCGGTTGCGAGCTGTTGGCTCTCACCAAGGCAGGGCTGTCCCAGATAGCATTCTTGACCGCTATCTGGTGCGAACCTGACCCAACGTAATCGCATCCCAGCATTTATACCCCACGAGGCGATCAACGTCCGCGAAATGAACGCGAACGCAGAACGCCACCTGGTAAGGAAAGAAACACTCCTGTTACGGAGAATAAAGTCAATTATTATTATTATTATAATCATTACAATCATAGATGAAGAAACCCAGAGTCATCTCCACAACCATTATTCGACGATTAGAGATCGATGACATAGAGGTTCATGTTTCGGGATTATATCAGCCCATCATCAGCCAAATACAAGAATAAGTTCTAGAAAAAGCAACAATGACATAGTATATAGATACAATGAAAACTTACTAACGTGGAAATGAAAAAGTTGAAAAATAAAATGACACAAGACAAAGACGTATGCACCATGATCTGGAAAACAATGACTTAGATGATGTAAGAGAGAATAAATTGAAAACTTACTATGTATAATGAAATATTCAGTTTTTTATAAAATCATTGAAATTTTAATTAATTTCTGGAAAAATTCGGGTTATTAATTTTGTAAGGGCCCAAGTATCCTTAACCCTTAACTACTAACCATACGTCTCAGAGACGGCATATCAGCATCCGATTTGTTGGATTACCACTGCTTTTTAATATCGGCCATTGTCCTACGACGTAATTTCTGTACAACTAGCACTCATTCAGTACCATAAAGTTGATCTATGTATATGGTTCAGTTTTAGTAAATATCTTGAGTGAAAGATAACAATAAAAGTTCAATTTCGCCTATAATACGTATGATTGCGTCTATATCTAGATATACAGGCAATGTCATTTTTTTCAATTTGCATGTTTACTGTGTCATATTTTGATACGACTCTAACTGTTTTCAGAATGACAATATAATAAATATCATCGATAATTTCAGTATTTCAATTTCATTTCAGTATTTCTACTCCTATTGAATTTTGATCGCCACTGAAATTTGTATTTCTATTTCAATTTTGAACATCATTATCACTTCGAAAAATATGTAGAGAACGTGTTTGAATAGCTCACGAAAATAAAATGAAAAATGTTGGATTTATATGGACATTCAAATAGTCCCGTCTGTGAGACGTATAGTTAGTGACAACGTTATATATTTGGAACGTTAGTAGTTAAGGGTTTTAAATTGCCAAAGGTGACAATCACACATTTCAAAAAAATCCAAGAAAGTCTGATGGGGCCTTCAGGTTAACATGTGAAATAATAAACTCAAATTAAGTGTAATAAAACCGGAAAAATTGATCTGTCAAAAATAAACATGACAGACATAATGTCATGTCAACGAGATCACGGTAAAAAAGTCTAAAATCATAAAAATCGTGAATAATAATGTAACAACCACGAAACAATAGCAGCACTACGTCAGAATGGGAACATATATTCAAAATTGATAATCCAACTTGGCGTCAGTCAGCCGACCTGTGATGAAGAGCAAGGTGAAAAAATAATATTGGAAATTATTGACAATCTATTGAGAGAATTCAGAGAAGTGACTTTACTATTGTTAGATGAATTTTTGAAAGATTCAATAATAGTATATTCTTCAACGAGCATATAATGATAGCAACTATTACCGAGGATATGATTCCGAAACGAGCCGTAGGCGAGTTTCGGAATTATCCGAGAGAATAATATCTATTATACGTGAGTAGAAGACCATACTTTCTGTACGATTATACGATGGTCAGAAATTTAATGTAATCTAAATATTATTTATGAAAATAATGTACTTGAACAGGAATCTTTAATATCCAACGAACTCAATGATGAAACAACACAATAATTATTAGGTCAGTAAATTATGTTTCTCACTTGTCGCACTTAGTTACTAAATTTATAGTGATATTCTCACAATTCGTGAAATTTAATGTCGGTGTTGCATTCAAATCGACACTGACATTTTCATTCATATTGCTAGTTGATGTTTTTTGTGTGAAGGTACTGTTATTTGATGATGATGAACATTGTTCGATTGATTGAAGAATCTAATCTGCCTTTTTTTTCTTATTCAACATGGAATCTTCTAGATATCCTTCTGCCACTGATGTGCTCTTCCAGCCACCATGTCTTTTCAATGCTGTTATATCTCCACCTGCATCAACAAGCAAAGTTGCAGATGATCGTCGGAAGCAATGCCCGGTGTTTATCTCGGGATTTGGTAGCTTCAAAAATGTAGCTATTTTTGTTTTTCCCTTCCTGCAAAACTTATTGATTCCAATTTTCTGAAGAAGACATTCTCCTTTTTAGTAATTCATGAAAAAATAGGGAATCCCAGCATCTGCTACGCGTATATCAATGTACTTTTTACAAATATTCCAGGCCAAAAACTGAGATATCGTAGAACTTTCAGGTAACTATTGTTTGACAATTTTAACATACATTTGCTGCAAGATAGATTTTATCAGGAGCTTCATTGATGAATCTATTTACTTTTTCTGGGGCGAATGTTTTCGACTTTTTCGGCTGAAAACCTTCAGATTTTCGTTTCAACAATGCACGCAATTTTGAGTAGTTACCTCTCTATGTTGATATCGTTGTTTACATCCAGTGTGCTTCTCAACATTGAATATATCTTCCACAACGATGATGACTTGTATTTTTCTGACAGTTTCGTAAAATATGCGAGCACAACTTTTTCCGAGAATGAATGGGCCTGGTTCAAGTTCCGCCAATCCATGAACTCCGCGTATGCTTTCGAATATTGTTTTTTTGATTTTTCCGGCATCAATAAGTTCAGAGTTGCTGTTTTCGCTGTTTTCAATGAATCCGGTGGTGTACAGATCTCATTATTGTCACTATCACTGCTTCCCCAATCACAATTAATCATTTTATGTTTTGATCGTGACAGCTGATATCAAAGTTAATCTGACATTCGCGAAAGTCAAGCCGTGACCCGTCAAATGAAGCAAAGCCTTCTTGAGATATTTGTTTGGTAGATTTGCTGGTTTGTCATTAGTCTAACTTTTTCAGTTGCTGTGGATCCTGAAAATTCTGAATCTGTGATTGGTCGAGTGCTGTTGTATAATGACTGCTAGATCTCATAACTAAGAGATCTAGGATGAACAGAGCTGCCCCAATTGTCAGCAGGAGCGAGACAGTACTGTTTCGACCCACCAGGTCTCATCAGCCGCTCTCGGTCTGCTGACAACTGGGACAACTCTACGCTTCGAGTATATCACCCATTTCGTGACTATAGATGACAGCGCCATACAGTGTGTGTCGCGATTTCTGTATCCTACCTTAGAGCTTTATTGCCACTAGATGGCCACAACATGACTATAACTTCATGTTATACCCTGCGTCGTTGTATAATGAGTTAGGATCCACGGTCTCTTGGAATCATCTTCATTCATCAATTACTAACCAATATGTTATCAATGTAGAATACGATTGTCGTAGAGAAACGCCGTTTCTGACACGAACATACAAAACTTTCTAGGCTATTATCAATGCTTGGAATCCGATCCTAGACCACCAGCAGTTTCTTTGCTAACCATATTCTCAACACACGATATCTATGTGATCAATCCATGACTGTCGAATAAATGTTGTGGAGATGACTTTGGGTTTCTTCATCTATGAAATATAACACTCCACTTTGAGTTACCATGGACTTCTTCCAAAGATTATTATAATCAGTTATTATCAACATTTCAAGGTTGTGAGTTTAAGAGAAAAAGTGCGCACAATGAGCGTAGTCTCCCAGCAGTCTGCCAGGAGCATTCGAAGCTTGAGGATCAGGAAGCCGAAGGAGCTGAAGCTGTTGCTACGAGAGATTTGGGAACAAACTAAAGCCTTATGCACACCTCCTCATCTGAGGTACACCATCATAACGTGCTTGATACAATTCGGATTGACTACGAGGTAAGATGTTTTTAAGTTCACTAGGTAGCCGGATATACAGGGTGTTCAACAATTTGGTATCCAGATTCCAGGAATTGATTGTTCAGTTCGGGATAATCATTCCATTCTCTATGAATATTTGTCCGCAAACACTTCGTTACTGATATACAGAGCGTTGATATTTCGAGATTGTTTCATTTCACAACATTGTTGATAAAAAGTCAAAGTTTGTTGTTACACAGAAAAAAAGTCAAATACACCATTTTTATTAAACTCTTCACTATCTAGTGCGTCGATTATAGCTCCATATAGTGGACAGCTCAATTTTATGATAGTAATTCTTTATAGTAATCCGTGCTATTGAATTTCAGCACTATATAAATAACTATTTTGGATAGGGAGAAAAATCCATATGCATGGACTGTGCAAGAATCCACTTCAGATCAGACTAGAATTCTCCTATAATAACTGATAGAATCGATGATGAAATCTACAATAATATTATGCTAATTGCTACTATATTATTTCAGTAAGGAGAATCATATTATTCTAGTAATAGATTCTCAACTATTGCAGTAAATTTCACAATATCATTGTATTGGGGAATTCTATATAATTATAGTGAAAACATATTGAAATATTGAAAAATATTGAAATATACTTTATTAGTTTATATAAGGTTGAATAATAAACATATCATATATACCTATATAAAAACAAAATACTACATAATTTTCACATAGTTAGTCTTCCGGACAAACTTCTCTTTCATCTATATCTTCTGAAATATCAACATCTGTTCCTCCCTTGGCAGTCCCCCGCGAGCTTGACCCGTCGAGTTGATGCATCGCACCCCTTCGTGGTCATTTTGGGGACCTGCAGAACATCTCTTTCCAAAGACTCGTTCATCCAACGAACAGCGAGGCTCTGGAATACATTGCAAAGGGAGGTGTTTCCCGACGCATATAACCTTCAGAAATTCAAGAAGATCACCAATGCCTACCTCATTTTTCTTGATTCTCACGATTTTCTCTGAACATTACAGGATATCTATTTTCGTGGGAACAAGACCATAAAAAAATATAGGATTTTGGTCGATTTTGATACGACTCCGAAGTTTGTGATCAGGCCTGGATTACACAAAATACCAACCCAGGCCATGACCTAGGCCGCACGCTTGCGGGGGGCGCAGGATATGGGGAAATCTGACGTCACCTGACGAAGATAACATGACGTTATTTTCGTGAACCGTTGATATCTGTTATCTGTTCACTTAAATCGCAAATATATTCTTTTTATACATTTTATATAATGTTATGATTCACGAATTCTTGGAAAATAGTTGAAAATGATGTATTCAATAGGACTTAAAATTAAAAAGTGTTGAAACCTCAAATAACACAAGAAAATCTCTGAGACGAGGTTTGCAGTAATACATGTTAAACAAATTCCACACTTCTCAGACCCACAGGAAGGAGAAGTGTTTTAGAACTCTGGCATAGGACGTGAATTGCTGCTAATCCGGGCCTGTTTGTGGTACATGATTCAGAATTTCTGCATTTCCTGCTACCTATATCAAAACTTCTTCCAAGCGGGGACCGAATCAGTAGATCGCGATTTTCACTGTGATAGAAGTGACGACGGTTTGGATCATACATACAGGGTGATCCACGGTGGATTGCCTATTAGAAGTATCTGGGGAACGAAAAGACAGAACATTCTGAAAATTAAAATGCGAATTAAAATGCTTTGATAATTGAACAATCTCTATCCATCCAAAATATTTCCATCGATACAGTGTTGCCACTTCTATCAGAGACAACTAGCAACTTCGATATTTCAAATGGAGCACCCTGTATTTGATTGCATTCTAAGATTCTTTCTGGAGACCTGATTTCATCAATGCATCACACTTGAGGTCTAGCAGGAATGATTACAGAGACAAAGAGTGTTCAAAATCGAGATTATTCAATTTTAGGATTTCTTTTTGTTGGAACTATTCATTATTGCTCAAATCGGCGTACATGTCCTTATCTCAAATTTTGATTCATTATTTACTGGAATTAAATTAGGAAATACAGGATGCTTCAAGATTCAGAACTCTGATCACCTTGTATCTGTTCCAATTAAATGTCAGTAGATAGGGAATCGAGAGTTAAGATAGGGACATGTAAGCCGTTTTGATCGATAATGAATAGTTTCGACAAAAAAATCCTAAAATTGAAAAATCCCGATTTTCAAACACTCTATGTTTCTGTAATCATCCCTGCTAGTCCTCAAGTGTGATGCATTGATGAAATCAGGTCTTCAGGCAGAATCTTAAAATGCAATAAATGACAGGGCGCTCCATTTGAAATAACGAAGTTGTGAGTTGTTTCTCATAGAAGTGACAACACTGTACCCATGGAAATATTTCAGGCGGATAGAGAATGTTCAATTATCAAAGCATCCTAATTTTCAGAATGTTCTGTCTTCTCGTTCTCCAGATACTTTTGATAGGCCATCCACCGTGGATCACTCTGTATATGCTATCTGCTCGGATGCTCATTATTATTAATAATGTGTGATTGAGGCTGGATAGTTGATTTCCAACTCTGAGGTAGCAAAATGAATTATATAGTGATCAGATGCAGTCATATTCAATAAAAATGCGTACAAGCATATCACAGAGAAAAATTGACGTCATTCTATCGACGTAAAAGGGGCTATCGGGAATAATTGTTTACCAAATGTTGACAGTAGAGTTGTCATAGGCATCCGAAAACTCAAAGCATTGGCACAACTATATAACTAGGATGTCGTAAACCTCTATTTTCATCACATGTACGCTTTTTTATTGAATACGACTATACATTCTTCTGCAACCGATACAAAATTCGTCCATTCAAATACCGAAATTCGCTCTTGAATTGCCGTTTCAATCACTGACGCGAACATAGATATGTTGCTAGGCAAAACACATTTGGTTCCTAAGAGGTGAAGTTGAAGTTCAGCTCCTAGGAATCGGAAATGATGTACTAGAGGTCATCAAGAATAAACAAAATCATAAATGAATGGAGTTTTTCTCTTCTTTGAATGTTCTGGTTCCCACGAAAAGGGATATCTTGTAATGTTCAGAGAACATCGTGAGAACCAAGGACAATGAGGTAGGAATTGGTGTTCTTCTTGAATTTCTGGAGGTTATATGCTTCGGGCAACACCTTCCTTGGCAATGTGTTCCATAGCCTCGCTGTTCGTTGGATAAAAGAGTCATTGGAATGAGACTTTCACCAGGTCTCCAAAGTGACCACGAAGGGGTGCGAGGCCTCAACTGGACGGGTTTATCTCGCGGGGACTGGCAAGGGAGGAACAATTGTTGATATTTCAAAAGAGCATCGTCCATGAAAATATCTATAAAATAGAGCCAGAGCGCCAACTTCTCTACGGTGTTCTGGAGAAGTGAGTGAGTTTGTGAGCGAGGCATGACCCACGAGACGAATTGCCCTTTTTTGGACAGAATCCAACAGTTTCAGGGTATGTGTGTGTGCTGCACTCCAAATATGAAAACAGAAATGGAATAGAAATTAAAAAAATCAATCGTGTGGCTCGCTAGTCGCTGGCCGAGTTGTCAAATAAAAATCATCACATGGCCCTACAGCACTTGTCCAACTCACCTTGAAGTGAATCCTCTATCTGTCACCGTTGTTGATCATTGTTATATTTTTTTCAGTTACTACACGTTGATGATTTGGTTCCCTGAACTCTTCTACCGATTCGAAGAGTTCGAGAACATGCACCCGAACGAGAAGGCCACAGTTTGCGAGGTCTCCTCGGTGGTGATCACGCCCAATGCGACATTGGGGCACACCGAGTTCTGCGGAGAGCCCATAGCAGATTCGGTATTTTTGCACACCCTGATAATTGGCCTGGCCTGCATACCGACCAGTTTCTGGCTGCCCCTGTGCGTGCACAGACTGGGGGCGAAGTTCTTCTTAGGTGAGCTCTTAAAATGAAAATAGTGCACATTCTTTCATCTCCCATGTTTCATTTTTCCATTCATTCCAACGGTTCAACAGTCTTTCATTTCAGAAACTGCCTGATAGCAATTCTGAATTCACATCGAAATGCTATCGGTCATTGATATATTTGTATTCATTTCATCGTTTCCTAATAAGAATATCAACAACCTTGAAACATTCGAGATCTTGCTTCACTCGTCTGTGGTAGAAGTCCATATTGCTCAAAGTGGAGTGAAATATTTCAACGGAAGGAAGAAATGCTCCAAGTCATCTCCACAAATTTCAATGGTGTTGTTACATAATCATGTTTCGGTATTATAAAATACCATCATCAGCCTAATTGAAAGTTCTACAATAAGAGAACAAAATAAAAGTTGAAGTGAAATAATTTCCTAATTTGTGCTTGACTTACTTGGAGTTGGAAAATTTGTTGATGCTACTGTTTGTTGAATTGTTGTCGATGCCTATAGCCAAATTCTCAATGAAAAAACGGGTTCCCAATAAATGAAGGGTCCCGTACCCTGAGAGCGCATTCTATTATTTTCATTGGAATTTCATATACCAAAATGGTATATGAAGGGTATTGCCAAAAGGTTTGTTTTGACAACACCATAAATCAACGGATTTTTTGAAAAAAGGGAGTTCCCCGTGTCCCTATGAAAGCACTACTTAAGGATCATATCAATAAAATTGATGGGGCAAACAGTTAGCGCGTGTTCAAATCTAAACTAATGCGGTTAGTAAACACTAGAAATAATGTCGATTAATGACGTAGGCAAGACGTTGACATAAGTCAAAGTCAATGTCAAGGGATAAAACATGAAATTCTGACCATGAGCATAGGCAGAGATACCGATAGCTAATACAACTACTTAGAGAATGTGGATGTAGTAGAAGGAATGCATGTAGGGAAGAGTTGAGCAAACCTGAAAAACCATTGACTATGAAATTTCATGCAATAAGAGTTAAGAGCAAGGTAGGTGAATTACCAGCGATCAAAATCAAGAGCATTGAAAAATTCTATACAGTCAAAATGTGTTCATTCATCGAGAGACAAGGCAGAATTATTATCAAAAGAAGAGTTGATCTCGAGAATTTTCAGTAAATTCAATAACTTACTTTTGAACAGATATGTAGAATTTTGAGGTCCTGATTTGGATCAAAACTATAGCGTGAATTCAGGATGTTGTTTGCGAAATAACTTCTGGTATCACATTCATCAAACAGAGAGGGTGTATTCTTGGATTTTTTGAAGATCTCAACATGTTCTGTAACTCTGGTTGAAATCTTCCTACCACTTTGTCCAACATATTGAGCAATGCAATTTGGATCAGAGCAAGAAATAGAATAAACTCTAGATTTGTGACTCAAAGGGACTTCATCTTTCGATTCAACAAATTTTGTATCGATGAAAAATGTTTTTGATGTCAAATGAGACTTTGTCAAGGAAAGGAATGAATGAAAAACGTATTCTCGAATTTAATATTGGTGATAATAAGCTTCTATTGAAGGATTTGTTTTGGTGTTTATTGAACATCTTATTGATAATATGGGGTAGGAAACCGTTGTTGTGTCCAATCTGCTTCATGATATTCACTTCCTTGTCAAAACTTTCTGGACTCATAGGGATTTTGAACAATCTGTGGAATAAAGAAAAGCTGCAAATTTGAGTTGATTGGAATGGCAAGACATAAACGGAATTACAGAATTCTGTATTTATAAGGTTTTCTTAGACAAAATAGGTCGTATATGTATCAACTTATATACCACATAAATTGGCTGACTGCTCACTTCTTCCCTTTCTCCTCTGACGTTTGTAATAGAGTACATTTGTATTTGTTCATTTGTATATTTATATATCAGTTGAAATAGGAGTATATAACGAGATAAATATCTCTTCAGTGAATTTCCTCGGTTTTTCTCTCTTTCTGAAAGTTTTTTTTATTCTCAAGATTTCGTTCTCTATGTGGTTCAAAACTCTTTGCTATAAGATTTTCTGTATTCCATGTTGAGCATATGAATAATGAAAAGAAGGTCAAAACTGTAACAGTACAAGTGAGATTATTTCTTACTGAGTCGATCTATTTCGGAGACATTGTCCCTTGAGAAGTTCAGTGGCTTACACAAGGCATAGATTAACGACTCGAGTCGTTAATCTATGCACAAGGTATAACATGCAGACCATGCACGTCCAACTGCAATCTACTCCCGAAACTTATCTGAAATAAGAATGAGAATGATTTCAGATGTATGAGTGAGAGAATCATTCAAAGATATTTTTTAACAAAAAAATCATTAGAAAAATAAAGAAGTCATCATCATCATCAACAGCACATAAAATAATGCAAAGAGGATAGATATTTCAATGTCCCTTCATATATAAAAAAGATAGGAAATGGTGAAACTCTGATTATTGGGACTTTCTTTTCAAACCGCAGCATCCTTCAGTCACGCAAGATTTACAAGTTACTCTGTATATGTGGACTTCAGTAAAGCATGGCACCAAAATTCCATCCAATTTAGGATGACCATTGGAGTGCTAGTACTTACTAATTCCACCTGTACCTACTTCTTTTCGAGGGTTTGGCCGATGACTATATACTTACAGGACACCCTGTAGATTCGAATGTTGATTATGTTTTTGTGTAGTTTTCAGCTTGATAGTAGCAGGAGCGGTGACAGTGGGCCTCTACTTCGTGGATTCGACCATGACGAATCTGATACTCTCGTGTATTTTTGAAGCTTTAACGAGTCTAGGAATCAGTACTGTATACTGTGTGATGGTGGATCTTTTTCCAACGAATTTGAGGTAAAACGAAACGATTGATTTGTTATACACACTTTTTGATTGAGGATCGGTATTGTACTGACTTTGTGAAATTTTCAAAATGATAAATTTTGGCAAGCAAGCAGAAATTTGATATTGCGCCAGTTTGTGTGCATCTGGAAAATGAAGCGACCAACCGATTAGTGGAGAATGTTTCACACTTGGTTCATAAAGAGGGCTTCCATAAAGTCAGGCAAGAACCAATGATCATGCACCTGCCGAATTGTTATCAATGAATGTGATGTTATCAGCCTAGATCCTGAAATTTTGTAATCAAATACATTATTTTTTGGGACGATAAAATATTTCTGATGATAGTAGGGACACATAGATTCCGATACAATAATATATAATAACACCAAAATCATAGGAAAGGAAGATAACAACCAAAAAAAGGAAAATCAAGGAATCTGCTTGCATTTTTCTGAACGGGGACAATAGCATTGCTTCCTGTTCAGTTGAAATAGATAGAACATGGTATTCACTACTGAAAACTGAACATGTAAATGGTGGAATCTAGATCAATTGATGAAAACATCCTGTACCTCATTTGTTTACTGAAATCACTCATCCATATATGCCAACGTGATGCTAACATCAGCATGACACTGAAAAGTGTCAAACTATGAGCAGCATAACTTCCATAGAGAGATATTTTGCATTTTTATGTTGGGAACGGAAGCAGATATGGTCCCGAAACGTCCAAAGATGAGTAAAAATTTGATATTTTCTCAATATATCTCTTTCCTTCAAACATTTTTCAAACTAATTGTCACTAACAAGCTACTGAATTTTTCTTTAAGGCTTCCTGATAGAAACATTTGTTAAACGCAGTGACATTTTGAGGTAAATCATCTGATTTGTCCCACTACAAACATATTGAAATAATACGCATATTTTAATTTTATGGAAACGAGGAGAGAAAATCCCAAAGAATCAAGTAAAATGAATGTACCACCTCCTTGATTAACCTACAGACAGTATTCACTAAATATTGCAACAGATATCCTATTATTTAAATCAAACTCCTCAAACACTCAACACTAGGTTGACTGGCCATTTTACTTCGAAACCGGCTCAATCGTAACGTTTGAAAAAATTATGTTGGAAGTTCAAACACTCCCGATTCTATGTAAAGTGTGGAGATCTATTGAGCTCTTGTGCTCTTTTTCTCTTTTTATTTCTGAATAGATAATGCTCTCGAAGGTGATAACTATCACTCGGGAGGCAGAATCTGGAAAGCGGAAAGGGCATACAAGAAGCCATACGAAATATGCCTTTCTTTTCTCCATTGCGTTTTCAGATATTATTAACTATTGTTTTCTGTAGTTATATGTATATATCTTTCAAACTTCAAATTGAGACTTATCTATTTAAAATTGAGAATAATCAATTTCAACTTGATTCAAATGTTCTATAATGCAATAAACGAAGTCGAATTCAAAATAGACATATTCCGAATCGAAACTGAACAGAATTACTTCATGAAAATTGGGAATGACCATTTTCGAGTTGTAAATAATCTCTATCTCCCATTTATCCACATTTTTTTTGTTTTTCCGTAGGGTCATGGCTGCTGCACTATCGCTAACCTTTGGGAGAGGAGGAGCCCTCATAGGAAATCTACTATTCGGTTTCTTAATCGACTTGAACTGTGTAGTGCCTATAGTACTTTTTGCCACCATGCTACTAGGTAATGACCATTCCGTAATTATTTTAGAATAACTATTTCAAAAACATTTTCGAGCTTCTTACTATGTAAGCTTTAAGAGTATATTCCTTCTCTCGAACTCATTATTCTCAACAGATGCTATTCATTCCAATATCATATTATGAATACAACTTGAAATCATTATCTCTTTTTCAATCATACAAATTCGAATAAGCATTCCAATATTGTTTTCGATATCGACAAGAAAACAACTACCTTCTTGGTTGATACCAACGAAATATCTTCTTTGCTTTGTATCACCATCAGATATACTCTTTTATGGAAAAACCACGTGAGATTCTGCGCGAAAGCTGCTTCAAGAAAATACTGTTTTTCATTTCGAGTTGAAAGCTACTTTCACACATGCACTAGCAGTTTCTCCTGATCTACAAACGACAGATCCTGCCAGTTTTAAGATACTGTTCCCATATTATGTGCAGCATACAAACATACCCTGAAGCCCTTGGTTTCCTTTCATAGACACATATGCCTGGTGGGTGATGCCACAGTAACTAATTCTTTGACATCAATGGAACATCATACAAAAGTCACCTACCTTTCACTTTTATATGAATAGTTCCACGGAAATAGTTATTTTTGTATCTAGAGCGCGAAATGCTACTTTGGTGATCAAGATCTGATTTTTTTAACGAGGCGTAGCCGAGTTAAAAAAATAGTCGAGATGACCAAAGTATTTCGCGCTCGAGTTGCAAACGAAATTTTTTCTTCAAACGTCGAAAAATATAGTTCTAGAGAAAAAATATATTCAGCTTTATATAAAAATAGTGTTTAACTGGCTAAGAAGGCCTCCCCTTATCGTCCCTTGGTACGCACGATGCTCAACGAACATAATAGGAATTTCCTTTCATGCGCTCCGAGAGATAAAACAAAGTTATTGTTGAACATTCAGGAATAAATGATTTCGTGGATGTTTGCTCGATTGAGGACCATAAAGATGAATTATAATTATCTCATATATTTTACATAACAATGCGCGAAGTAGGTACTTCGCGCACTGGTTTACTTCGCGCATTGTTTTTTGTAAGTTATCATGGTAACGAAAGGAACTGAAAAATGTGTCACTTCGCAATTTGTTATCTATGCGCGAACCTTGTCATTTTTTGACGTTTGTAGAAAAATGTTCTTCAGGAATCTCTGCTATCATTGCATCACTAACAATACCAGTCGGACGAACAAAAGTTCAGATAGCGCATGCTGTCTACTTCACTTTCGAGATATGTCAAACAACTTTTCATCTAAACCCTTTCGTCTGTGATGTAATGGCGAAACATTGGGATTCTTCGACTAGAAAGTGTTCATAGAGCCTCATAATTAGTGTTGCCGTCTAGACTTATACATTCTAGACTCTTGTCTTGTCTTGTCTAGAATATCAAGACAAGATCATCAATATGTCTTGTCTAGGTTATCTAGACAAGACAAGACTTTCATTCAAAACTCTTGATTATTTTCAAATCTATATTACAAATACGTCGTTTCGCTGGCGCGGATATGATTTGTTTTGATTGGTTCCCAGAGAGCGGGAGTTTGCATGCACTTGACTGTTTCTACGCAATTTAAGCTACGCGTCTTATCTAGAGTCTTGAATAAGAATATAGACTTTCGTTATCTAGACAAGACCGCACTTAGCTTATTTAATCAAGACTTACGCGTATACAACTCTTGTCTTGAAATTTCAAGACAAGACAAGAGTAGGTGAACTCTTGTCTTGTCTTGTCTAGATGGCAACACTACTCATAATCCCCAGATGTGAAGAAATTACATAACCCACCTTCTTTCCCTGTCTTTTATAGACATACATGATGTTCCACACACACATTATGAGGATTCCTTCGATGTGCCTCAAAAGTTGATGAAGGGAATCAGAATTCACCTTCATTCCAAGAATATCCTTTAGTTGGATATTTTGGACTGAAGCACACCAAATTGTTCTATTTTACAACGATTCATTTTCATTTCAGGAAGTGGTCTACTCTGCCTTTTATTGCCGAATACAGGAAAAGGTTCATTAGACTAGGATAGTTTTCATAGATGATGAAACGTGATTCTACCGTGTACAAGGTGACAAAACAACTTCAAGTAGTTATCGGCAGATTCGAGAGTAAGATAATGTGATCTCCCTTCAGCTTCTTGAGGAATTTTTCATAACATCTGCTTTTATCTTACTGATATCATAGAAACGCACAATATCTATTGTACATGAATTCGACTACTTTGATCAGTTATTATGATCCATGCTAGATGGATTAGGTAGATTTACGGATTGAAAAAAGGATAACGCATTATTCTGCAGCCGCTGAATCCTACATGATATTCAATTGCAAAGGTTCACCTCAAAAACTCACACCTACACGGTGAATCATTGATGTGATAAATTATTGTATTTTCAAGATTAGGTAGACGTAAGTAATCAGTTTGTGCCTGTAATGTGTGCGATTGGAGACCACAGGGCTCTTTCACTTTGAAATCCGTTGACTGGTGATGAAATAAGCTGCTCCACATCTGGAGTGAGACAAGCAAAAACTCCAATCATTTTCGAACCGTCATAATTTTGGAGTGGATCAACCAATTTTCTATTCTTTTCGAGATTCTGTTAGCTCATTCCATTGGGTACAACGTCAGTAATTTTTCGTTATTCCACCTATTCGACATGGAGACCTACTGGGTGATATCTGAAAATGTGATAATTTTCGAAAAGTTTGGGATCACCTCGATTCACCGGGAATTGTTTCATGAGGGCGATGAAATGACGAACAATGAGTTTTATCGAAATGATTTTGAATTCAAGAGGATTCAAACAGGATGTTTGGATGTATGGAATTTTTCACAACATATTGCATTCTGATATGTTCATCCACCATGAACTCAACTTCGACAGAATTTCACATTGGCATATCTTCGAGAAGCATTTCGAGAAAACTCATGATACTTCATCTGATCGCCCTCAATGAAACATAATAAAAATACCTGCCAAACGGGGCGATCTCAAACTTGAATCCAAAACCATTTCGGGAAACCTCATTGTCTTTCATTCTATCGCCCTCGATGAGACATAAAAAAATCCCGGTTAAACGGGGTGATCCCAAACTTTCCGAAAATTATCACATTTTCAGATATCACCCTGTACGTCTTCATGTCGAGAAGGTGGAATAACGAGAAAGAACTGAAGTTTTACTCAATGGAATGAGCTATCAGAATCTTGAAAGAAATTGAAAATTGGTTGATCCAATCCAAAGTTATGACGGTTTGAAAATGATAGAAGTTTGTGCTTGTCTCGCATTTCAAATATGGGGCAGTTTATATGAATTTTATCGACGAGCTGTTGATATTTCAGATATACTTACATCGAAAGGGGTAGTTGAGTATCTACCTACTAGTTATCCTTTGTCATAGAACTTCTCTATTTCATGAAAATTAGTCAACGGGTTCTAAATTGAAAAGGTATTGCGTTCCCAAATCGCACATACTATTTGAGTTTAAAAAAATGCAATATACTGAAGTATAAATTGAAGTATGAATAGGTACTAGATTTTTTTCACTAATCAAAATCGAGTTACTTTCACAAACTTGAATTTTCAATTGACGACATTCTCTGGTTCAGATCATATCGGAGATGGAAGAGCTGTACACTGTACAGGGTGACTGATAAATAGATCATATCCATTTCGACTTGATAGAACATAATTGAATCAAACACCAGATTTGTAAAAATTCTAGGAGATATGTTCATGAGATTGCAAAAATAATCTGGTTCATTTGAATCTTGAGCAGATGCATGAAATCTATAAACTAAAAAATATCATTTCCTCAGTACTTGAAAATGAACTACTTTCCAGTCTTTTTGCCACGACGATCATAGATTCTCTATTGAATATATTGAACATACACGATGAGGATTTGTGAATAAAATCTTCCGAAGTTGAGAATTCGCATTCTCAGATAGAAATCGGTTTTCATCTCAGGCGTGAGGAGTTGATGAATACATACAGTGTGTCCATTCAGTGCGTAATTCTTCGATATCTCGAAAGCCATAACCTATAGAGAAAAACTTTGAAGGAATTTTTTTTCAGTTACTGAAGTTGCTCATTTCAAAAATATTTTCAACATTACTGGGTGTTTTATCAAAGCAGGACGACTCGGAGACGAGTTTTTTCAAATGGAACACCCAGTATTTTTTATTCGAAATTTATTCCGCCGAGGCTTACTTTCACATCGCTGTGAAAAAAATTCGATTTGGTTGCGGCGTTGCAAAGTTATAATTTAAAAACCAATTTTCACCACTATTGAAGAGTCATGTTGAATTGGGCATGGTATTCTCTTTTATCCAAATTTTGAAATTATTTTCGGCATACAGTAGTAATAGTAGCAAGGTCTCACGTACACTAATCCATCAATTTTGCGACATGTTCTCCTACAGGGTGCTCAATTTTGCATTTAGAATTTTGCAAGATTCAGATGGTATTCATTAGAATTTTTCAAATGTTTCATCCACAAATCCGTTTCGACATCTTTCGCCTTTTCATCGCTGGAAAAAAAATCTAAATCGGTTGCGGCGTTGTCATTTTTTTCGGGGTAATTTGTACGTCATTGTTCTTCCATTTATTTATGTTGTGGAAATATTGCGTTGCTAGGGTATAATCAAATTTCTCCGTTGACCATTCATATATTTCCTACAATTGGAACATCTACAGTCTCTCCAAGTTTGAATTCAAAACAGAGTGGGTTTCGACAAGTTGATCCAAAATGTTACTTTCACAGATTTTTTGCAGACTATGAATTAGTTTCTTGGAATACACTTCTATTATTTGTGTAATGACCTGTCACACATCGCCAGAATCAAATATATCATGATTTCTTACCTATAGGGAACAATTTTGAAGATTTTTGCGCCACTGAAGATGATGGAACCAGATATTCTATTTATAATCCATGAGTTTGTGAGTATTTCAGGTATTTTTCAGTGTATAATTGTGCTCCAGTGGGTTTTTTGAAG